GTTCAGTCTGGTCACCTCTGCTGCTCTTCCTGACGTGAGATCCCTCCCATGGGCTACAGGAGTCCAGGAACAAAGTGTTCCAGTGGGCACAGCTCCTAGCTCTGGCATGGGGATGTCCTTGGGCTGCAGATGGGTCTCCAGTCCAGCTCTGGGGGTCTCTCCCCCAGCTCTGGAGTCTCCTTGCTCATCAAACGAGCACTCAGAGTCACAATTGCCCTCAGGCTCAGCTTTCTGCCCCAGTGTGGAGTCCTCCATGGCCCACACGTGGGGATCTGCTCTGCTGTTGAACTTCCACGGGCTGCAGGGACCTAATTTACCTTCTCCTACTCCATGGGCATTGATCTGGGCATCTGAGGTTCTCTGTCCTCACCCCCTCCTCCTCTTGCCAACAATGCTCTCCTCTGTTTAGGTCTGTTGTTCAGGTCAGTGGCCTCTCCTCCTCCTCCTTTTCAAAACCAGTTCTTCCCTCAAGAATTATTGATTTGAAGAGCTTTTTTCTGTTGCTGATTTGCTCAGCCTGGGCTGTAGGTGGGTCCACCTTGGAGCCAGGAGAGCTTTGTGAAGCTTCTCACAGGGGCCATCTCTGTAGCCCCTTTGCCCACACAAACCCAACACACCTGGTTTTGGCAACCTGGCACCTCATTCTGAGTCACCCCTTCAGCAGGGTCCCGTCTGCTTTAACGACTTGCCTTTTAATTTGATTTTATAGGGGGAAACTGCTATTTCTAAGTTACCTCTCGAGATGCTTTCACCCTCAAAATGGTATAAAGGGAGCCAAGAACAAAGTGCTTGGGTGCAGATATCTCGGGTTAGACGAGGTGAACCTGCTCTGAGCACTTCTGTGGTGTAGCAGGTGAGAGCAGCCTCTGAGCAGAGCACGTAGCGTGACACTGGGGCTTGCAGAGTGGGTCTCTGGAGTCCTGCTTCCCCTTGCTAAACGGTGGCTGCTCCTGAGCACCAGCGAGACGGTGAAAAGCACCATATGTGCCAGGCTGGAATATGTCAATAGATCCGCTAGACGGGAAAATCGGCCTCATTTCTAAAGATGGAGTCCCAGGCTTTTTTCTTTTTAAAGGGGATCATTCAGATCCTACACAATCCATTTGGGATTCAGCCCCATAACCCCTCTCCACATCTGGTTTCATCTGTTCTCATTGGAAGTAGCTTTCCTCTGTACAGGCCTGGACGACAGAAGAGAAACTGTGTTTGCTAGAGTTGATTGAGAGAAAAGAGACAGGAACATCAAAGGCAAAGAGGGAGGTTTACGTGAGGCAGCACCTCTGTGAGATGGTGTGAACGCGCTGCCTGGCCGGGGAGAACGCCAGAGGGACGAGTGACCCCGAATGACCAGGTGCAGATGGAACAGCACAGGCTGCTTTTAAGCTTTCTGCATCCCCACGCTGGAGACGAAACCAAACTGCTCTCTGCATACAGTTCCACATCTCTGGTGCTTGTGGAACGAGGCAGTTCAACCTGTTCCCTCAACACAAAATCTGGAGCTGCGAGGGCCACCAGGATGATGCGAAGGCTGGAGCAGCTCTGCTGTGAGGACAGGCTGAGAGAGTTGGGGCTGTTCAGCCTGGAGAAGAGAAGGCTCCGGGGAGACCTTCTAGTGGCCTCCCAGTACCTGAAGGGGCTCCAGGAAGGCTGGGGAGGGACTTTGGCCAAGGGCAGGGAGTGACAGAAATGGCTTGAAACTGGAAGAGGGGAGGTTTACATTAGACATTAGGAAGAAATTATTTGTTGTGAATGGTCAGACACTGGAACAGGTTGCCCAGAGAAGTTGTGGATGTCTCCTCCCTTGAAGTGTTGAAGGCCAGGTTGGATGAGGCTTTGAGCAACCTGGTCTAGTGGAAGGTGTCCCTGCTGCTGGCAGGGGGGTTGGGACTGGGTGATCTTTAAGGTCCCTTCCCACTCAAACCAGTGATTCTATGAACAGCTCTGGAAAGCGATGAGACCAGGCTCAGCCGCGGAGCTGTCAGGGCACCTGCGCTATTTTTATCTTCCCCACATGGCACAAAACTGTTCCCACTTGAATCCCAAGAGCAGCCTTGCTCTGACAAGACCACACTTTTGCCTCTCGATTCACCTCTTTGCTTTTCTCTTTCCCAGGTTTAAGTTCCAGGCCGTGATTAACGGGCGCCGATTCCCACCGGCAGAAGCAGGGAGCAAAAAACTGGCCAAGCAGGAGGCGGCAGCGAACGCTATGAGAGTCCTGATGAGCGAAGCTGAGAATGGGAGGCCTGGTGGGATTAAATGTGAGGAGCCACTTCCCTCTGACAGCTCTGAACCCGAACTGGTGAGTCTTGTTTTCTTTACTCGTGAGGCTGGTCAAACAGTGCTGAGGCTGAAATGAGTTTCCTCCATGTACCTGCTGTAGCCTTTGCACGTGGATCCGGAGCCGCCGTCCGCAGCAGCTCCTCTCAGCCTCCTTCCTGGGAAACACCCCATCAGCGTGTTAATGGAATACGGACAAAAGTCAGGGAACACGGTTGAATTCCAGCTGCTCTCTCAGGAAGGCCCACCTCATGATCCTAGGTATGGCATGTTACTGTCAGCTTTGGGAAGGATAGAAACCCTTTCTTTAATATCCTTCCTCTTCAGCATGCTACCCACATTCCTGGACTCATCCCTCACCTAGCTGAGTGCTCCTCTTCTCCCAGGAGCACAGCTCCTCTGAGACATCTGCCTCCAGAAAGAGACCAAAACCAGTGTCCTTTCTCAGAGAAAGGATGCCAGTTCTTCTGCCAGACCAGGAACAGGTTCCAGTCCTGTACCCTTCCTGGTGGTGCTCTACTGGGAGTGTTTAGGGGCATCGTGGTAGATTTAAATTGGAGATGACCCAGAAGGATTTGACATGAACTGGGAGAAGGGGATAATAAACAGATTGAGACATCTATGCTTAATGCTTTTCATATGCTGTAATGTCCTGTCAGGTTCAGCTACTGTGTGAAAATGGGTGACCAAATTTTCCCTGCTGTGGTAGGAAACAGCAAGAAGGGAGCAAAGCAAATGGCAGCAGAAGTTGCTGTGAAGATTCTTTCTGGAGAGTCTGTACCCCATGTCTTACCTGAACAGGTACAAAGAGCTTCTTTATAAGACCCAAATGTTTTGGGTTGGCTTCCCCTCCCTTTTATTTCATATTCCACTGGATTTCACCCCACACGGTCACGTGCTGGCTCTAGCAGAGGTTTGCTGAGTGCTCTTGGCCTGCGGTAATACCAGCTGCTCGGTATTTAACAGCATTCTCCTGTCTAACTCTGCTCTAGCCTGTCGTGAAGCCCCATGGTGAGCAGTCCATGCACAGCTCTGGACCAGGGATCGCCACTCCAGATGAATCCAAGGTGGTGAAAGCGAAGGGTGTTGGGGAACTCATCAAATATCTTAATGTCAATCCTGTCAGTGGCCTGCTGGAATACGCCCGCTCCAATGGGTTTGCTGCAGAGTTCAAACTCATTGACCAGTCAGGACCTCCCCATGACCCCAAGTAAGTAACTGCATCTGCCCAGGAGGAGATTTTGCACTCTTGGCTGTTGTCCTGGAGAAAGGGCAGAAAATGCAAAATTTCTGATGCGGTTCGAGATGGCAACAGGCTGAGCTGCTGCCTCTGCCACACGTTATGTCCGATGACAATAAACCACCTCCCCTCTCCCCTCTCCC